CATAATTCTATACATCACCCAGTGCTCAAGTGCACTCCTTAATCCCCATCATCCGTATCACCCACCTCCCCACCCACCTTCCCTATGGTAACCATAGGTTCTCTATGGTTTTTGTTTTGGTTTGGTTGTTTTTTGGGGAGTTTTCTTTTCTTTTTTTTTTTTTAGATTTTATTTGACAAAGAGAGACAGCGAGAGGGAATACAAGCTGTGGGAAGCAGGCTTCCCACTGAGCAGGAAGCCTGATGTGGGGTTCGATCCCAGGACCCTGAGAACATGACCTGAGCTGAAGGCAGACACTGAGCAACTGAGCCACCCAGGCGCCCAAGTTTGTTATCTATAGTTAAGAGTCTGTTTCTTGGTTTGTCTCTCCCCCCACCCCATGTTACTTCTTTTTTTTTTTTTTTAAGATTTTATTTACTGAGAGAGATAGCAAGAGAAGGAACACAAGCAGCGGGAGCTGGAGGAGAAGCAGGCTTCCCACTGAGCAGGGAGCCCGATGCAGGGCTTGATCCCAGGAATCTAGAATCATGACCTGAGCAGAAGGCGGATGGTTAATGACTTGAGCCACCCAGAGACCCACTGTTTGTTTCTTAAGTTCCACATGTGGGTGAAATCATATGGTATTTGTCTTCCTTTGCCTGACTTATTTCACATAGCATTATACTCTAATTCTATCCACATTGTTGCAAATGGCAAGATTTCATTTTTTATGGTTAAATAATATTCCATTGTGTATATATCACATCTTCTTTATACATTCTCTATTGATGGACACTCAGGCTATTTTTATAATAATCTGGCTATTGTAAATAATGCTGCAACAAATATAGGGGTGCATGTATTCTTTTTATTTAGTGTTTCTGTATTTGGACGGTATAGGGCATTCTGCTTTTTCTATTACTTATACAGTAAGATAATCAGGGGAAGGTGTATGGGAAATGTAGGGCTACAGATTTGCAGAGACAGTGAAAAGCAAGTTAACTAGAAAAATATTGTAATGAAATTTCCAGGCATTGTTCAGAGCCCATTTAAGGTTGAAATTAATAATTTAGTGATGCCAGTCTGTTCAGCAAGACAATTTTCTACAAGATACAGGCATGGAGAAGCATGTTGGTCCATCTAGGGTGGAAAACTTAGGTGGGGAAAAGAGTGGTGGGCAGGCTTAGGAGTAAGAGTAGGATTGTAATGGAATACCATTGTATCTAAGATGCATTAAGAGGGGAAGTGAAGGACGCCTGGATGGCTAAGTTGGTTATGCGACTGCCTTCAGCTCAGGTCATGATCCTAGAGTCTCCCGATCGAGTCCCACCTCAGGCTCCCTGACCTTCTCCTCGCTCATGCTCTCTGTCTCACTCTCTCTCTCTCAAGTAAATAAATATAAAAGAAAATATTTTTAAAAGGAGGGGGGGTGAAGAATGTGGACTAATGGGGGCTTTCAACGGATTAGAAGTACTGATAAAGTTAAAAAAAAAGTTAAGTTCTTGAACAGTCAAGCTGAAAGGACATCAGGCTGTAACTGGGCAGAAGGATGTTCCAGTTAGTAATCTGTGACGAGATAACGTTTCTGGTGACAAGGTCCAGGTTTTTATTTAGGATTGGGAGGCTGATGTAAGGGTCGCTAGAGATGGGGCCCGGACGGTAACCCGGCAGTTTGACTAAAATTATCAAGGTGGAAGCTAGAGGGGATAAAAGTAAGATAAGGAGCTGGAGGAAGCAAGACGATCTGGAAGAGGCGTTTAAACAGGTGGCAAAGTCTTAAAAGCATTGGAGAAGCAAGGGTTTTTACAAGAGGTGACCGTATTCGGCACATAGCTCCCCGACCTCCTGAACCTGGGGAGTGAGAACTAATTCTCCAAGGGATGAAGTACCCTCGAGGGACAGCCAGGTTTCCGTCGGAGAAGTTCAGAGAAAACTGATCTGGAAGCGGGAATCTCGGAGGAAGAGCGATATGAGAGCAGTGAACTGGGGAGGGGACCGAAGCAGAAGAAAACACGGACACGCCTCGTCCCTAATTTACCTTCCTCCCAACCGGACGCTGCGCCACACCAAACCCCGCAACTAGAAAACAGGCTAAGAGTGGACGCCCACCGGCTCTTTCCAACTCCGCGCGGAAGTCCTCGCACCGGAACGCCGCGATGTCCGCGCTTTCCCATTGGCGGAAACTTCCGCCAGCGCCAGTCCGCTTCCGCCAACGACTCGATCGGGCGGGGCAGTCCCTAGAAGTCACTTCCGTTTGGCCCCGCCCCTCGGTCTCTTTTTGGCCGCTTCCGGCCTTAGGCCCCGCCCCTGTCCAATGTGGCCCCGCCCCCACCCCGCCCCGGGCTCGCGGCTGCGGCCCCGCGGCGCCGCTTCCGGTGCGGGCCCCGCCCCGGCTGTGGCCCCCGGCTGCGGAGGAGTCCGAGACGCAGCTGCTCCGCCGGGGCCTGAGTAGTCGCCGCCACCCCCACCGGCGGACCCGGAGCACCCCGCACAGGTAAGCCGCGTGGGGCCCGGCTCCCTCCGTCGGGCGGGAGCGGGGACTGTAGCAGGTGGAGGGGCCGGAGGGGTGCGAGGGGAGGCAGGTGTGTGGGGGGAGACGCGAAGGCGCGGGCTGGCAGAGCACGGGGCCCGCGGAGGAAAAGTGAGAGCGCTGGGAGGAGAGCTGAAGCGCCCTGCAACCCTTAGGGTGATTTGAGATAAAGAGATGGGAAGAGTGAGGGCCCCCGGGAACTGAGAGGGCGAGGGTAGGTGGGGTTGGGGCGATCGAAGAAGAGCCAGCGGATTGGCTGGGAGGGCTTGGTAGAGGTAAAAGTGATAGGGCTGGACTGGGGGCGTCTAAAGAAGGCGGCGGGGGGGGGCTCGCGTAACCGGGAAGGAGGTATGGGACTTCAAGGGGACCGGGACCAGAGGGATCCGGGAGCGAAGGTAGCGGGAATGGAAGGGGAGGCCGGGCTCAAAGCTTCAAGCAGCCCCTTTGCGCCGGGCAGGGTGGTCCGAGAACTTTAGGGGAAATGGGGGAGGGGGCCGCGTGAAGGGATGAAGTGGTTTAGATTTCTGAGACACAGGTTTTCGAACTGTAGGCAAGTGGCATTGTTGTTTGGATCTTTCGGCTTAGGGACGGCGTAGATGGGCTCTTTGGGGGAGGGTGTGTGTATTGAGTTGTTGAACTGAGTCATCTCAATCTTACTAAAGAGGCAGTGAGACACCTCCCCCTCTGCTGGGGACAGCACACTGAGAAGATGGTGCCACAGGACAAGAAGCAGTTGTTCAAAGACTGGCAGGACTCAGTTGAAAAATGATTCCTCTTTGATTGATTGCCTGTAATGATTATAAGGAAAGTTAAAATGACCGCCAAATTATTTGCTTTATTCTTTTAATTTTTTTACGCTAATTGTTTTTATCCTAAATGAATATTTTTGCCAGTTGGATTTAATGTGGGTGTAAATCTTTTCATGTTACACTATAAAAAGGGCTAAAGCAGAATGAAAGCAATGCGACAGGCATAACTCACACTTTCTCAAGTGCCAAGAGAGGAAGTAAAGGCAGTAAGAGGCAAATTGGAATTTGAATCTTTCACAGATTCCAAAAGGCAAAAGCAGTGCTTCTCAGATGAACAGACAATGAGAATTTTTATCTTTACTTTTTTGCCTAGCATTAAAAATTGCACCTTTTCCGCCTACCCGTTAAAAGATTAGTAAATGCAAGCGGTTTTTATTGCTGGGGATGTGATTCCTTCCCCATGAATTTTTGAAGATGCTGAAGACATGTAGTATTTTTAATCTTTATACTCAGTTCTAAAACAGTGAAACAATGCAAATACCAAGTCTCGACCTGTGCAGTGGAGCTCCTTTCATGTGATGACAACGTTGCACGCCATGTTGCAAGTCCTGTTCTCCTAAAATTTGCCCGTGCATAGTAATCCACTCAGTTATGGAGACTTGCTGAGGAAACATAACTCAAGTGAGGTTTGTTGGGGCTGGAACTCTGGAGAGGAGGAAGGGAAAGGAGGAGCTAGAGTGGAGAAGAGGGTGTGAAAGGGGGCTGTGTTTGGAGACTGATAGGTATAAGAATGCTGATAAACCTGCCCCCAGAATACTTTTGGCCTGAAAGCCTTTTCTGTTTGCGTTTGTCCTAGAATATCATAGTAGAAGTGAATCAGAAGGAAAAGGGCTGTGAAGAGATTTACTTGGCTGTTTATGAAAAAGAGGCATTAGCTTGTTGTTTAGACAATATTGATATCTGTTTCAATTTAATTAACTTTAAAATCTCCAGAGGAATCCCCCCCCCCCCCGTTTGTTTTTTGAGTGACCACTGCAATTTGAAACTCTTGCCTCCTTGCGTGTTTCTTTCATGTTGTTGAAATTGGATTCTTTTTGAGGCTGTAATGTACAGTTAGCGGGGCTCAGCCTACTTGAAAAGCAGGCCTGCAATTCGATCTGGGAAAATCTGAAAAGTCTAAACCTAAGAGCAGTTTGCTGTGTTCTGCTTTTGTAAGAGAGAACTCATTCTGTCTGCCTGATAGCTCTGTGTCTAGCTAGGACGGTACTTTCTTTCTCTCATGGGCCTGGAAACATAAGCCTCATTCTCTCTTTTGTAGGCAGGCCCTTCTTTCCTTCATTATTGTGATATTTCATATTCACAACCTTTGTGCAGTGCAAACCCGGTTGCCTTTTCAGTAATAAAGAGGCCAACGTTTGATAATGTCAAGAAGATCAGGACACAGAGGATCACAGGCTAGATGCCATCAGGATGTACTTCTTTTTAAACCCACAGCTGTCCACCATTGTTGAGACTCATCCCGCATTTCCTCTCTTAAATCCTGTTCTTCACACTGTTCCCTACCACTCCCCCTCCCCGCCCCCCCACCCTTCCTCCTCCTAGAACCCGGGCTTTAGAAGGATATGTTTAGTGTTCAGAACCCCAACCCTTTACCAGAAAAAAGAAAGTCTTTTAATACCTGTTTTACTATTGTTTTTCCCCCCTTGTTTCTCCTTCTTTGTGGTTTCTGTTAATCACTTAAGGTTTAGACCCAGTGTGCCGGCCAGGCTGTCCCCAGCCTCAGAGCCATGCCATTCGGCGGCTGAAGCTTGAGGCAGTGATGGAGCCCCTGGCACGACAGAAGCAGCCTCGGCAGCCACCACCACAGCAGGCCCCACACCTGGTGCCTCTGCAGATGGATGCCAGAGAGAAGCAGGGGCAGCAGATGAGAGAAGCCCCATTCTTGTATGCCCAGAAGCTGGTCGCACAGCAGACTCTCCTTTCTGCGCCCCCCGGGAGGCCATCTGGCAGCCCTACCCTGGGCCCCCTGGCCAGAGGGCCACCGGCCGCCACCGTGGCCAGAGTTTTTGAACAGAGCAACGTGAACTCCGAGCCTGAGGAGGAGGAGGGAGGTCTGGAAGATGAGGATGGGGATGATGAAGTTGCAGAGGTGGCTGAGAAAGAGGCCCAGGCCGCGTCCAAGTATTTCCATGTGCAGAAAGTGGCTCGCCAGGACCCCAGAGCAGTGCCTGGATCTGGTCTGCTTCCAGCACCAGGGCTCCCACTGCGTGGCCAGCAAGCTAAAGAAGACCATACCAAAGATGCTTCCAAGGCCCCACCTTCAGTCTCCACAGCTGGGCAGCCGAGCTGGAATCTGGATGAGCAGCTCAAGCAGGTCAGTCTTCATGGTGCAGGGGGTCATTTGTTCTTCCTAAAGGCTGGGTGAGAAGAGTCCTGCCAGGGCCAGCATCTCTGCCAGTCCGCGCCTTCTCAGCCTACTTCTGTGACCCAACAGCCTAGCCATGAATAGATTTTGAATTTCTTTTCTCATACTTGTTTTCTTGATTACAGCAATGAAATGTGCAGGTTACTAGTCCTAATATAGATTGTTTCAAATGGGTTGTGAAAGAATGTCAGTACAGTCTTTTTTTTTTTTTTTTTTTTTTTTAAAGGAAGGATGAGGTTGCAACAGTGTTATGTGGGATATCTAAAAATGCGATGTGTGACTCTAATTACAGTTCTTTTAGTGAAAGAACAATCTTGCCTAAGACCGTTCCTTAGCTCCAGACTAAACCAGGATCATGCCCTTTAAGGACAGTTTTGTTGTTTTGCAGTTACATATAGCTGACAAGAAGCGCTTGCGTTGTGTATATTTTCCAACAAAGAACATTGCAGACATTTCATTTCACCCTTACACCATCCCCTTTGAAAGAGGAAGGGGTAGGGGCGCCTGGGTGGCTCAGTGGGTGGTTAAAGCCTCTGCCTTCGGCTCAGGTCATGATCCCAGGGTCCTGGGATCGAGCCCCGAATCAGGCTCTCTGCTCGGCGGGGAGCCTGCTTCCCCCTCCCTCTCTGCCTGCCTCTCTGGCTACTTGTGATCTCTCTCTGTCAAATGAATAAATAAAATCTTTAAAAGAAAGGAAGAAAGAGGAAGGGGTAGACCTCAAAATTCCCAGCTTAGCCAAGGCAAGCTTAATTGGTTTTCAAACATGGGTGAGCCTCACAGTCCTCCCGAGAGCTTTAAAAAATACAGATTCTAGGGTCTTAAAGAATTGTATTGGGGTGGAGCCTAAGGTGTTCTTAACCAGGCCTTTGGTTTCTAATTGCTCTTCCCTTTCTGACGTGCCGTGCAGTTTTTCCTCACCCAAAGAGTGGGGAGTGCTGCTGATGGGTTGTTCCAGGTTAAGTGACTCATTGATGCTGAGACAGGGAGCTCGTGACAAAGCTGGTAGTACTTGGGTACTTCCTATAAATACAGGCTCTTCAGTGGCCCAGTGGTGCTCTTTGGAAATCCGTTGTGAAGAGCTGTGGGTTTTCACAGGGCGACTGAGAAGTCATCTAAGAAAGGTCCTTTGGAGCCTGAAAAATCAGCGTCTTTGTAGAAAGGAGCCCTGTGTAGTTGATCAGAGTTTTAGCGCAGCAGTATTTGCAGTGGATTCCAGAGCCTGCAAAGTGGGGTTCAGTTCCCATCTCTTCCAGTTATTACCCTTGTGATCTTTCCGGAGGGCTGTCAGTCTCTCTGAGCGTGGGTCTTTCATCCCTGAAGTGAAAATGACGAAGTGTGCCTCTCCCAGGGACGGTGAGAGGTCTGACTGAGCTAGCGCGTGGTCGGTGGTAGTGCTGCCTTGTGCTTCTCTCTGCACAGAGCACCATCCTCTGCTGCAGCCCCATGGACGGGACGGGCTGGGCTCGGAAGCAGGCAGAAGATGCCGGGGTGCCCTGGGGTTTTCCCTCAGCTCGCCCAACGGTAGTGGCTGGGCTGGGACTTGGATCGGAGAGTCCCAGCTTCCACGACAGCAGCAGCCTGGCCGCCAGCCCAGACCCGCCTCCTGGCTGATTGCTTTAGTTTAGCAAAACATCTGTGAGTTGCCTGCAGCCCCCGCGCTGCCTTGTGGCTGGCAGAGTTCCATGCCGGCCGCTGAGTCAGCTCGTAGCGGGATCCCGCCCTGACAGCACTGGGAAAGTTCAGGCCCGAGGCGGCTGGGCTGCCCCCGCCTTGGCAGCTGGCCAGCCTCTGCGTGTGTGCGGTCGTTCCTAGAAAGTGCAGCCGCGTGCGAGGAACAAGTGGAGCTCCAGAGCCCGTCTGTCTTCAGGAAGTGCAGCAGGTGTTGAGGTCAAGCCATTAGAGCTTTGAAAAAAGAGACTCTTCAGAAGTGGCGTGTGCACACACACTAGAATGCACAGTGGCAGGCACCCAGCGCCGGGTTCTGGGCGCGGTGGCCCCATGACTACACAGCTCAGTGCTCAGGCGCTGGCTGCTGGTTTCTGAAACCCTTTGAGTTCATTTTAAGTTTCTGAGGCATACTCACTAATTATAGACTGCCTGGCAGAGCACCTGCCAGAATGTTTTATAAACACCAGCAGAGCCGAGACCGAATCTCACACCCTAAATTCCCCTTCGCCTTGGATATGGAGATCGAGAACTGGGTTAGGGGGTCACTGGGTAATGGTGACTTTGAAATCTCTGATGCGCACCTCCTTTTCCTTTTGAATTTAGTTTTACAAAATCGCTTTGGTCTGTGCCCACCTCCTTTGTCTAATCCCATCTTTAAAGCAGTAAATAAAGGGCTCCTGGGTGGCTCAGTCGGTTAAGCATCTGCCTTGGACTCAGGTCATGATCCCAGGGTCCAGGGATCCAGCCCCATATCAGGCTTCCTGCTCATCGGGGAGTCTGTCTCTCCCCATTCTTCTCCCTTCCCCCTGCTGGTGCTCTCCTGTGCTCTCTGCTCTCTCACACACTCAGTGAATGAGTAAAATCTTAAAAAAAAAAAAAAAAAAAGGAGCAAACAATATGCTTAGGGATTAAAGAAACCTTTTTTTAAAGTTGTGTTTGTGAAGTGGGGCTGAAAAAATATCCTTGGAGAAAGCCTGTAGAAACCATTACAGACCATGAAACTAGCTTTTGTATTGTTGACAGTCTTTTGTTTCTTACGCAGTTAACTTGTAGAGAGCAGAAATGGAGTATCCCTTGCTCCAGCAACAGTTACAACGATCTTCTGCAGGTAATACAAAATGATCTCACTGTCAGTGTGTTGCGGTGTCCATTTTGTTCTTTTATATAACAGACTTTTACAGAGGCTTATTTGGGCCAGGCCTGAGCCCCATGGACTAAGAAACTCACAGTCTAAGTAGCGGCTGTGTGGAAACCTCAACGGGCATTGGGTCTCATTGGTTCTTGGGTTGCAGTAATTTCACTCTGTCCTAAGTCAGATGAAGCCCAGCTGCCCAGCCCTAGCTATGCTGCAGATACTTTTTTCCTTTTTTTTTTTTTTTTTAAAGATTTGTATTTGTTTATTTGAGAGAGAGAGAAGGAGCATGAGCGGGGGGAAGAGGGAGAAGCAGACTCCCCTCTGAGCAGGGAGCCCAATGCAGGGCTTGATCCCAAGACCCCAGGATCACAACCTGAGCCAAAGGCAGATGCTTAGCCCACTGAGCCACCCAGGCAGCCTATGTTACAGATATTTTAGAATAAGGTTTTGTTTCAGACATTCATATACCAAAGTAAAACATTAATTTTGTCTACAGCATAGCTAACATAGCTTGGTCAACTAATAGGAATACCCAGTATTTTGTAAGACTTGGGCAGGGTGGGGGTGCAGGTCAGCAGGCATCTGCCAACCTAAAAGCAAAATTTAAAAAGCTTAAGGACTCTACAGATTACCTTTTGTTTTGTAATCCCTTTCTTAGAACATGTGAAGTCAAAGTAATTTTATGGATTCTCTTTAAAGAAACTCTTAGAAAATAATTGCTTCTTAAGGTCCGGATCGTTAAGACAGAGTATAGTGTTCTCTGACACCAGAGTGATGGGAAGATGGATAATGCCATCGAGCCAAGCATTCTAAAGCCCATCAGATTTCATGGGCAGAGTAAATAATTGTAAAACAAGGCAATAGACAAAGAGCTGAGTGTCCTTTCTCTCAAGGGAGATCAGTAGAGCCCTGTCAGCATACAACCAAGTGGGGGGTTGTTGCTGGCCTGTTAGGGGTGGTCTTCTCTCCTCCTGGGAAGAGGATAGTTCAGGCAATACAGGCTTTGTCTGTCTTGAGTCTTTTAGTGGAGCCAGCTTTCTAGAAGGGTGTAGACTCCCTCCCAGAGAATAGAAAGATGAGCAATAGCTTGATAGGCATGGGGGAGCCAAAGTGTGTATGTTTGATTTTTTGCATACTTGGGTGTCACGTGGGTCACTGAGTGTGGGAAGGAGGAAGGATGGCTGACTGCTTGGCCTCTGGAATCTATTAACAAGAGTTTCTCTAAGTAGTAAGGTGCCATTTCTTGGGCTAGTCCAACCTTTCTTGGTTCATATTGCATGTCTTTGGAACATTTGTTGCTTTTTGTAAAGATCGTGTGAACTATTGCCTGAATAAAAATAAAGTCATAAACTTTCCTCAGTTTTCTTTGTAGGTCTGTCTTGCATGTCCTTAGCTTCTTTGGTGGAATCAAATCAGTGGTTCTAGGTTGAGGTTGATCTCCCCCACCCTCCCAGCCACCCACCCTGCTCCCGGCTGTTGTTTGGCAGTGTCCGGAGACATGTTTGCTTGTCGAGACTATGGTGGGGGAGATATGCTACTGGCGTGTCGTAAGTAGAGGATCTACTGGTAAACATCCTTTCCCACACAGGACAAGCCCCCACAACAAAGAATTACCTGGTCCAAAATGTCAGTAGTGCCGTGTTGAGGAAGCCTGCTCTACATTGTGTAATTAGAATAAGAACATATGCCATCCTTTCATCAGACACTGCCCTAGACTCTGTTCCTTTGTATTTTAGTCTTGGTCACTGAAGAGTTTGGCAACCTTGAGTTTTCGTCACTTCTACTTTCAATATCTGTGAACTCAATATCTTGAGTTCATGTCTTTCCCCATAGTCACCTGAGTGACCAGTCTGTCACTTTGGAGAGGATTGAGACCTAGAACTTGTGCTCTCTCATTTGGCTCAACCAATGGTGCTTCCAGCATAGCATTCCATGGTGTCTAAGATGTCTGTGGTGATTTGTGACATAGCTTGGTTGCCCTTTTAGACATTAACCCCAAAAAGTTAAGGCATAAATCCTCAGCAAATGTGTTAATTAGTAACAGATTTAATTATTAAATCAACATTGGTTTTGGAGCCAGAAGATGTGGATTTAGATCCTAGCTCCACTGCCTGCTCGCTATAGTACTCGGGACAGGTGTCCTGACCTGGAACTCTGAACCTGTACTTGCATGTATCCCAGAGGATGGAAATCATAATCTCCCACTGTGCTCAGGGAGCAACTGTAAAGTTGTTACCAAGGTGGAGGAAGAGTACAAGTGTGAAACATCTTTGTAAATTTATACCATCATACAAAGGCTGGGTCAGGTTGGCGTTAGTGCTGAAATACTTTCCAAAGTGGTAATTCTTCAGGCTTTTCTACTTTTGTGGGTAAGATGCTCCATAAATCCTAGACACTGCTCTGAAACAGTTCCTTTTCAAGTTTCCCAGAGTGTGACCAAACTCTCGTATTCCAGAATTCTCTGAAACATTTCAGGATTATGTGAGCTGAAACCACTGCCCTTTTTTTTTTTTTTTTTTTAAAGTCAACACTTTTTAAAAGCTGCTTCTTTCCACGTTAAAATAGGGCTATGTGCTTGTTTCTTCTTTAGGTAGAACTAAGCTTTATTTACAATGAATTTTTTTTTTTTTAAGATTTTATTATTTATTTGAGAGAGAGGACATGAGCAGGCAGAGGAGCAGAACTCCTCCCCACTGGAGCCCGATGTGGGGCTGGATGCCAGGACCCCAAGGTCACAACCTGAGCCAAAGGCAGATGGTTAACCAACTGAGCCACCAAGCACCCCGTATTTACATTGAATTCCTATAAATACATGGTCTTGACTTAACTGAGGTCCTTACCCTTCTTACCAAACATGATCCCACCACACACATCTGAGATCCCATCCCCCTCCTAATTTTCAGGGACTTGCTCCATCAGAGAAAGGCCTATTTCCCTGATTCTTGGACCCACTGGCTTCTGAAGCTTTTTCCACATTCATACATGTTCTGCTGTCTCCTACATTTTTTATTTTTTTAAAAGGTTTTATTTATTTGAGAGAGAGAATGAGAGACAGAGAGCATGAAAGGTAGGGGAGGATCAGAGGGAGAAGCTGATCAGGGAGCCCGGTGTGGGACTCGATCCTGGGACCCCAGGATCATGACCTGAACCGAAGGCAGTTGCCCAACCAACTGAGCCACCCAGATGCCCTGTCTCCCACATTTAAAAACAAGAACAACAATAACAACAAAAAGACTCCTTTAATCCATAAATCTGTCTGGGTCATTTGTTACAAGGGAATTAGGAGTCATTTTTTAAGAAACTTTCCCTGGCAGACACATCTCCTTCCAGGTTAGTTCCCATTGTCCCCCCAGCAGAGCCTCTCAGAGGCATTGTCTGCACTCTCTACCTCCACTTTGTCACCTCCAGCTCGCTCCTCAGCGCACTTCAGTCTAGACTCTGACTCTTGCATGTTCCTGACGTTCCTCTTGGTGAGGCCTCCCAGTGACCACCATGTGGCCGAGCCCCACCTACCCTCACCTCACTTGATTTCTCAGGGGTATTGAATACAGTAGACCCCTCTCCCTGAAATATTCTCTTCCTTTGCTTTCTGTACCCCCTCCGTTGCCTTATTTTCCTTTCTCTGTCTCTTCTGTCTGACCACTAGAACCCCAATTTCCCCAGGGTTTAGTCTTTATCGCCCTCCCCGAGCAATTCCGTTCAGTCTCACGGTTTTAAATACTATCCACAAGGCTTTGATTCCGGTATGCATTGTTCGAGCCCGCTCAGATATTTTACTGGCGTCTCAAGTTTAACACATACAAACCTGAACTCCCTTACAATTACTTCCTCCTTTATTTTTCCATCTCTGTAAAGAACATTTCTGTCCATTTGGTGATTCATACCAGAAGCCTTAGGGTTATCTCTCATACCTCCTACTCTGTCACTCCATCTGGTGGTGTCCAATCATTACCAGGTCTTATCATTTCCCCCATTTATTTTTTTTTTAATTTTTAAAAAAGATTTTATTTATTTATTTAACAGACAGAGATCACAAGTAGGCAGAGAGGCAGGCAGAGAGAGAGGAGGAAGCAGGCCCCCTGCTGAGCAGAGAGCCTGATGTGGGGCTCCATCCCAGGACCCTGGGAACATGACCTGAGCCAAAGGCAGAGGCTTTAACCCACTGAGCCACCCAGGCACCCTCATTTCCCCCATTTAAATGTCTAGAATTCTGCCCCATCTCTCCTTCTCCACTATCATCTACCTAAATCAGGCTACCTACCTCCTGCTGGAGCTATCAACAAGTGTCTGTGTCTTCCCTTCCCCATTCTAATCCATTCTCTACACAGTAGCTAGAATGATCTTCTAAAACACAGATCAGATATGTCACTCCTTTAATGCCATCCAAGTATGATGTCAGTTGCTCTGATTGTAAAAGTCAAAATCTGCAAAATCTGATCCCTTCCTGTTTGTCAGCCTTATTTTTGCAAACGTCCTCTCCTATCACTATTCTCCTGTACTACGCCAGCCACCCTGGCCCTTTCACATGTTGGTCCTGCCTAGAACACCACTCTAGGCTAACTCTGCCCCGCCTTCAGTTCTCCCCGGAAACATCACAAACATCACTCCCTCGGTGGCACTGTCTTCACCTTTAGTGCAGATGAGGTTATATCCTGTCACTGAAAATTATCCTTTTATATTTGTGTGATTGGTTGGTTTGATATCTGATTCCTGTACTAGATGGTAAACTCTAAGAGAACAGGGACCCATCTGCCTTGCTTATCATGTATTCTGGTGCCCAGCAGAGTGATGGCAGGTGGTACTTGTGTCTTCCACTGTCTTTTACTTTGCCCTGTTTTTGTTTCTGTCTTTTAACGCAAATGGCATCATTTCATTTTTTAATTCAGTCTTAGATTCACAGCAAAACTGATCGATTTCCCACACCACCCCTGCCCCAACCTATGCGTGGCCTCCCCGACTATCAAAAGCCCCCA